TTTTTTGTGCTAACATTACTAAAAAATGGACAACTTTGAACAAATGTTCTATTAACATTACATTAAGAATGTTTGCTCATTACTTTGAGAGAACCTTGCTAGAACGTTCCCTGTTAGCTGGAAGGAAATGTTCAAGGCTGTTGATGTTCGACTCTGTTTTAGATCGACTTGTATGAAGTGCTGGACAGCAGACCTAAACCTCGGCGAGGGAATTTGATAAGCTCAAGGTTATTACCTGTCTACACCAAAGGATGGGAGGTATTCAACATCACACAAATGGTAAATATATAAATATATATTATATGAAGAGGAAAACAAATTGTAATCATTTTGTTTGTGCTGCTGTTGCAAAAATAACTCCTAAATTATTAACAGGTGACCAAATGGATTCTTCACAGCGGTACAAATAATGGTATCCTGGTCGTGACTGCTTTACCTTCAGGGAACTGGTTTGAGTCCAGCATTAAGATGGACAAGCAGTCAGATGAGACAAATGCATATCTGGTTATATATTCAGATGATGGACAAAAGCACTACCAACACCCACCTTTCTACACAGGTAATTAAGCCATAAAACACACTGAAATTCTCCAGACACAAGTATAATACATGGGTGTTTTCTAGACTATACTTTTGGCCCTGTGGTCTTTCAGTTCAGTTTTAGGTCTTTCACACTTTATTTATGGATACATGGAGCCACAATGGCATTTCCATCACATCTCAAATAGCATAGGAAATGGGTGGAAATATTCATATTTTAAGACTGGAAGTCTGGGTCTGCAACCAGGGTAAACCAATAGAATAAGAGGCATTTTAAAAGTAGAAAAAATATTGATGAAGTCCTGGTAAAAGTTTCCAGAAAATGTTTAATGTGACATTCGTATAACAAAAATAAAAAGTTGAAATCTGTTTAGATAAAAATCAACCTTAGGGACATAAAAGGACCTAAAGTTGAAGAAAGACTCATATATTGAATGATAACTAACTATAATGCATAATGAAGAGTGCGTATCATGTGTGTCTTGTGTGTGTGAAAGTTCTGATGTCTGATGTTCTGATGTGAAAGTTCTGATGTTGACTCTCTTTTAGGACAAAATATCAACGCATCCCTTAAATTCCTGGAGCCTAGAGAAAGTTCAGTGAAGTCAACAATGCGGAAGCGCAGGAGCGTGCGTGCCTTACCTTCTACATGCCAGAGAACAAAGCTCTACGTAGACTTCACTAAGATTGGCTGGTCAGGGTGGATAATATCTCCCAGAGGTTATAATGCATACAGTTGCATGGGCTCATGTCCGTTTCCACTGGGCGAAGGTCTACGGGCTACGAATCACGCTACCGTGAGATCCATCATGAACGCGCTGAAACTATCGCAGGAGGCGGGGAAACCGTGCTGTGTTCCTGACGTGCTTCACCCCATCAGCCTCCTGTACTTCGATGACGAGGAAAATGTCGTTCTAAAACAGTATAACGACATGGTTGCGGGCAGTTGTGGCTGCCATTGAAATACGAAACGGCAAGATGTAAACCTATGTTGATGTGTACTGTCCCAAACTTCAATCAAATGTACATTTAGATAGCATTATTTTTAGTTGATATTTGTATGGGTATTTGTAAGTCTAAACCAAATTAAAGATATTAAATGCAAGCATTACAATAATGTCTTTTATAAGTGTCAAACAGATCTACCTCTATCATTATGAGCAAACTACTTAGACTTAGAAACGTCATACTTGAAGCTCTACCCACCAATCTACCAACTCTAGTTACATATTAGGCTTAAAGGAGAACTCCGGCGCAAAATGAACCTTTGGTCTAATAAAACAATGGTACCTATAGTCCAGCCTTTCTCAAAGTGGGTGCCGCGGCACACTGGGGTGCCCCCTGACTGTGTCAGGGGTGCCGCCAAAAAATTACGTAGGCTAAAAAAAAAATATAATCTAAAAAAAATCTGACATTTCATATATAAATATATTTACATAAATACATTCTTCTTCTTTTTAAACATATGAACGTATTAATAAAATTGTAAATTCATTTTAGATAAATATATATACGAAAATATATACGGAAAAAAAACGGTGTTGCCTACGTGTTATCCTCTTTTTAAAATTTGCACCCTGTTGACTTATACGGGGCAAGTTTTAAACCTGCTTTTAGCCTCTTAACAACCTTAATGTGTCATTACAAGTGCACAGCCATATGAGTGAACACGGTGAATCTGACTGCAGTAAATGTGAAAGATATGAATAAAAATGATGTTTATTCAGCCAGCTGCTCACATACCCGTATTTTCTTCCTGTTTTCGGTCGAAGTCCACAGTAGGTGGTTGTCGAGTGCGCGCGCGCGATCATTGGTAACTAAGCAACAGTGGAGACTCAGACTGTCAGCTGTCAGCCGATGACGGTGCTGTATGGTGTTCTGAGAATATCAGCTCAAATGGATAGTTCATCCGAACCAGATGTTGAACACACGGAGGAGGTTTGATCGCGCGCGCGAACTCGACAATCAACTACTGTGGACTTCGACCGAAAACAGGATAAAGAGATTATTCCTGCCTTCGTGAAAGCTCGGATCACAGTTAAGACTGATATATCAGCCCAGGCATCCACGATCCATTGGCAGATAGTGGTGTAAGTCGCCCGGCGCTGTCTCCCCGTCTTGGTGAACGTGTGTTCACCATCCATGTATAAGGCGCTCCGAATTATAAGGCGCACTGTCGTTTTTTGAGAAAATTAAAGGCTTTTAAGTGCGCCTTATAGTGCGGAAAATATGGTATATAAAATTAACCATAAAAATCCGTCTCACAAGACCGAAGCAAGACACACACAACTTGACGCAAGTGACGCAGCGGCAACCCATAGCAACGCGTTATAGCAACAACACCTCAGACTGACAGAAACGTAAAAATAAACGTGAATTTAGCCCACTTTAGTTTTGAACACATTGTCATGTTAATTATAAGCAAATAATTTTTTTTATTGACCACAACATACCAAAAGGTGCCATAAAATTGTTATTATTATTTACAGTTCGTATTATGCCCCTTTCATTACTGTTCTGTCTAAATAAACAGGACATTTGCATTTACATTTGGGTTATGCAGTGTTTTTAAATTATATTTTACACTGGGGTGCCTTGAGATTTTATGCACTTTTGAAAGGTGCCCTGACTGAAAAAAGTTTGAGAAAGGCTGCTATAGTCAACCGTTCTCTGAGATCAGTTTTCATGATAATCGAATGTAAAGAGTTTTATGTCTAAAAACTGTTTAGCGTATAACGCTAGTAATGGGGGCATATAATAAGTAGTTTATACCACTAACAAGGCTCAAAATAGCCCCACACGAACACAGTAACATAATGAGGGTCCCTACATGCAAAACGAAGCATTGAGAACTTTGTGAGTGTACAGACCGTTTAATAAGAAAATAAAGATAAAGACAGTCCACTTCGTGTATACAGACAGGAGCCATCTTTGGAAAACAGTCTCGACTAGTCAAACCACGAACGACGTGCTAAGTGAGCTGAACTGTATGAAGTTCAGTGAACTTCTGAACTGTATGAATGGCGTTCGTGGTTTGATTAGTCGAGTCTGTTTTCCAAAGATGGCTCCTGTCTGTATACACGAAGTGGACTGTCTTTATCTTTATCTTCTTATTAAACGGACTGTACACTTACAAAGTTCTCAATGCTTCGTTTTGCATGTAGGGACCCTCATTATGTTACTGTGTTCGTGTGGGGCTATTTTGAGTCTTGTTAGTGGTATTAACTAGCGATTTCTTTTTACTTATTATATGCCCCCATTACTAGCGTTATACGCTAAACAGTTTTTAGAGATAAAACTCTTTACATTCGATTATCATGAAAACAAATCTCAGAGAACGGTTGACTAGGTACCAATGTTTTATTAGACCAAAGGTTCATTTTGCGCCGGAGTTCTCCTTTAAAGTTTCTGCCAGTACATATACTATTGTAATAGTTGATCATCCGGAGAAAGACGTGCATATTGTCAGACAACGCAGAGTTCCTTTATTTTCTGTGTGTCGTGACAAATACCACTTGTACTAAATGTTGCAACCCAAATTTTTCGGCAGTTTTAGCAGGCGATAAGACACTTGCAAACCTCCTATTCACCACTTGGTGGTGGCAGAAAAATAATCAGCAATTATGACTTTTGAATGGACAAAAATTCAGGCATTTCCTGAATTTTTCCACCATTATTTGAAATCATTTTCCAATGCTGGGTTGTTGTTGTTGTGGTGCAGTCTATTTCAGATAACCCAGTGGGATTAAACAGCATGTGGTCATGGTTGGTCACTGTGTCAATCAGATGGTCTCTTCCTATCTAAATCTAGCAGAATAATCTGCAGTGAGGGCTATAGACTTTATACTGCAAGTCTAAACTCTGGCTTTCTTTATGAGACTATATACTGAATGGGATATAAATAGCAAGATAATCAAAATTAAATCATTAAACAATTGCTCATTGATGATACTTTTATTGGAATGGTTCTTTTCTGAAGCAACAATCCATTTAAATGGATTCATTCCAAAATGCACCCTGAAAAGTGATGCAATCAGCATTTGTCAAATATACCATTTTAAGCATATAAAACACATTAACTATGTTAATTTCTTCATTTTTACAATACTTTTCGGCTGTGAAAAATACTGTGGACTAATGTATTTTCAAACCTCAAATGCAAGATGTATCAAAATAATCTGTTAAATATTTTTGTGAAAGCAACACTACTTTCAATAAGGCGCAAATCCAAATCTCAACCTCCTGTTACAAATAGACAAGTGCTTTTAGGTATTTGCCATACTTTAAGTAGAAATAAACATGTACAATCCACGTCTCGTGTACTATAAACAAAGAACAGCATACATACTACAAAAACGTTTTCCATATCACACCAGACTGCAAGTTGGAAACAGTGAAAACTGCATTAGTCTACAAACAAAACAAATCCCTGATTTCAGTCACGTTCGATCTCAATGTTGTCATCTTACACTATCAATTTCCTCTTCAGGGGTATGTTCTTGTGATATATACACTGGCTCAATGTAAGGATTTACTTCTTCATTATTTATCTGATTAAAGTCCTCCTGCATTTGTTTCCTGCTAGGTTCAAAGTCTTTCAGGTCATCCGGAGGAATCATAGATCCTGCAGTCCTGACAACAGACTTCTGTGATGGTACAGGCACTGGAACAAAGCCATGATACAGCATAAGTGGTGGTGTGTTCATAACCTCCATTGGTGGAGCCTCAGGAGACTGTACTGGCAGTTGCACATAACTTTTAGTTTCTGGGTCAAAGAAAGTTTTCGTTTTGACCTGTACTGGGATATCCACCAGAAAGTACTGTCCAGAGTCAGGGTCCTGTAAAAGCTTTCTCTGGGTGATTGGGAAGGACTGTGTTACAAGATTAGTGGTTGGTGCATAAGTATGTTCAATGCTGTTGTGGCGCAAAGGTAATGTCTTTGGAGTAGAGTACTGGGATCCTTCTATTAAAAAATTTGATTTAACTTCACCAGTGCGACTTGACATGTTTTCGTGTTTTTCCCTTAGAAATCTATCCAGACTTTGAGTCCTACGTTCCAGTTTCTTGGGCAAGTGTTTTTCATTGCTTCGACCTAATCGATCACTGTCATTACTTATATTGCCGTTCTCCAAATGATCCCCATGGTTTGATGTGTCATCTTGTTGTTTCTCAGTGCGGTGGCCTTTTGAGTCACTGGTTTGTCTTTCTTTGTCTTTGGATGCATGTTGCGGTTTATTACTAGGTTCATTCTCTTCTATGTTTTGACTCTTGTGGCCACTATGGTGTCTAGCATGCTTCTCGCTTCTTTGAGTTTTGGGCTCCGTTGTGTCATTGAGATGTTCGCTGTGTTTACCGCTGCTTCTATCACTGCTGAGCGATCTGTGTTCTGATCTGTCAAGTAATTTGTCAGTGCTGTGGTGTCTCCTCTCAGCCTTGTGACTGACACTTTTGTCACTGCTTCTGCCTTTACGCTCAGGTTTGCTTTTAGCTTCAGCCTTTTGTATCCTCCGTGTGGTGAGTTTCATGGCTCGGCGTAGAGCCTTTTCAGTTTTTGGAGGTACAACAGGTGGCTTGTTCTGACCATTACTGTCATTTCCGCTGCAGACTGAAGCAGATCTCTCGCTGGGTGCCTTGGATCCCTCCTCATCCTCTGCTGGTGCAATGTTTTCCTCCATGGCATCCCCTCCGCATGTTTCATAGCTTTCCAGGCCCTCAGATAAAGTGCTCACAGCAGAGCGCTGCTCCTCCTCCTCAGACACAGAGCCACTTCCAACTGATAGCTTTCTATCTTTGACTGTGACCAGGTGATTTGCTGGAAGGGACAATAAATGCATTGCTGGTTGGTTTGTTTTGGGGCTCTTGACTGATGCAACTGGAGAATGGACACAGTCCTTGCAGAGGTCCAGACCTTCCTCATCTTTCTCAGATCCATTCAAGTGGCCCTTCTGAGAAAGCTGTTGATCCTTGGAGGAAGTATGACTGGGTGATATTTGTGTTAAGCTTCTAGCTGACTCGATCAAGTTGTGCACCCATCCCCCATTGTCCACATCACTCGGTGGAGAAACATCAGACTCACTTTCATGGTTGCTTAAAGAGCAGGAATCTATTGTTGGTTTCTGTAAATTCTCCTTCACCTTTCCATCAACTCTTTCTTTCATGTAGCAGACCTCTGCTTTACTCAAGAACTCTTCCGGTTGTGATTTTGCCCCCTGTTCTGATTCATGAAATAGAGAGAGCTCACTTGAGTTTGAAGATCGACTGCTGTGATGTGTTTGTTTACCATTTGATGAGGGTATAGTGTGAGATTGCCCAAGGATATCATGTACTGTGATACTGTCCTTTGTGGCTTTATCAGTTTTAAAAGACTCTGATGACAGTGTTTCAGAAAGTTCCTCATGTTCATCTACAGTTTTTCCCTTTTCTGAGCTTGAAAGTCCAAAGAGGAGTCCATTGAAGAAGTCTTTTACATAGCTTTTACTAGGACCTTTGGATTTGTTCTGCTTCTGACCTTCAGAACCCTCTTCCTTCTCGTTCGTTTTTACCTTGTTGTCTTCCATTTCCTCATTTATGTTGTTTGTGTGATCACGTATAGCTTTTTGGAAGTCTTGTGTGACACTGTGTTTCCTTTTTGAAATCGAATGTTCCTCGCCTCTTTCTGTTTCTTTCGAGGAGCTGTTAGACTTCCGTTCACTCTCTGAATCGATCTCCTTGTAGATAATGGAATAAGTCCCACTTTCAGGATCACTAACTGTGAGTTTTGGTGGAACAAATTTATGTTTCATTTTGTCTTTTGGAGCCTTTTCATTGGGTCCCTCTTCCATAGACTTTTCGCAGCTTGCATCTTCAACAGGCTGACCTTTCTGAGCATCCTTGAGGTTCACCTTACTTTCTTTGTCATATTTCTCTTTCAGAGACAATACATTTCCTCTTTTGGGGCCTCGATTCTTTGATTGACTTGACTGAACTTTGTCACCTTCCCTACTTTCCATGTCCTCAGTTTTGACTGTAGCGTCACCTTCTCTTTTAAAGTCAGAATTACTTTCTGTCTTTTCACCTACTCTGTCATTACCATGAGAATTACTTCTCCCTCTTCTTGGGGGTATCTCGGGTTTAAAGGAACTAACGCCCAACTCTTCCTCACACTGTCCCACACTGCTAAGATTGCTACTTTTCAAATGATGACCTGTTTTTGTGCATTCCTTTGCATTACTTGTATTTTTATTCATCGACTCTTTCTTTTGGCATAATTTATCATCCTTGCTGACATTATCAGTGTTGCTTTCTTGATTGTCTAGGCACAATTTTTCTCTTTCATTATATTGTATAGGTCCTGCATGCTGGCACTGCCCAATAGATGCTTCCTGCTTACAGGGCATGGCTAATTTTACCTCAGCCACATGACTTTCACCATGTTTGGCCATGTCTTCTGACCTCGTTTGACCAGTCTGCCAATTTGTTTTAAAAGCAGATACAGTATTCTGACCTTTGCCATCCTTTGCACTTTTCTCCCTCTCATTCAGCATGAACATACTAGACTGTTGGTCCTCTCCACTGGTGGGTAACTCACCACCTTGAGGTTTTTCACAATCAACTCTTTTTATATCAATGAGTGAACATCCTGCATTGGAGACAGCCTTACTTTTCAACTTTCTTTGCTCTCGTTCAGCAATTACTTCCTCTAAAGCCATTTTGGCCAGGTCGTACTTATCGATGACAACATTCTCTCTCTTTAATGGTGCATTTGTCTTATTAGGCACCTGTTCCATTGATCCAAATAGTGTTCTCTTTTCAGAAATGTTTCTTTTCATTTTTTCAGAGTTTCCTTTTTGCTCTCTTTGAGTTTCCAAACCACTCTTTGATGTCATCTTTAGCTCTTTAGCTGTGTTAGCCTCTCCTCTTACATGAACCCCTTCTATCAATAGTGGTCCGTCCATTACTTTATCTTTATGTATGTTTGCAATATGCTCCTCTTGTCTTTTCTCTTTTGTTTTTGTATTTTTGGAATGCCTTGACCACTTGCCATTTTCATTTTTATCCTTTATAGTCCCTTTTTCTGCATTAGAACTATCATTATCATTATGATTATCATCATTTGTACTTACAAATCTCTGACTTTTAATGTAGTTGTTCTGTCGTGCAGAAAAGACATGCTTTACTCCTGTCTCCTTTCTCTGTGGTTCCTTCTCTTTAACAAGGCTTTTCTGTTCACTAGTTTTCAACCTATCCTTCATTTGATTTGTACCATCACTAATGACTTGCTCTTCCAGGTTTGGTAAACTTGCACTTGAACTTTTACCAGATTTGTTTTCAAGAGAACTTTCACTATTTAAACCTACAGTGGGTTTAGGGGCATTTAGCGTTGACTCTAAGGGATTATTTTTGCTTTGCAACTCTGCACCTTTAAACAATTTACTTGGATAACTATGCTCTGTGTCATGATCTTTGCTGGCTTTATCTGTGAAAACCTGCAAACTTGTTTCAACCACAGTTTGAGCATTTGCTCTAATATTAATCTCCTCAGGAGTAGTTTTTCTGTAAAGTTGTAATGAGGGGTAAGTTGCCTTTTTAGCTGCAGGGCTCCTGTCTGATTTTAGTGTTCCAGATTGAAGAAGACTAAATGCCAAATAGTCATCTGGCATCCCGCCATTTGCAGGAGAGCAAGTTTGAGTGTCTGCAGTTTCCAGCAAGGGACTCATCTGAGAGATGATGGCTTTGTGACTAGCTGGTGAAATAGTTGTATCTCCTGAAATCTGTTGTATTCCAAGGCCATCTTTTGACACTTCAGGCTGGGAAGACTCTTTGCTTTGATTTGCCACATCCAGACCTTTAAACTTTGGTGGACTGTACATTGTCTTAACCCGTTTTCTATTGTCTTTGAGATTGAACAACAAGCTTGATGCTATGGATTTGTACCCCTCTCTCCTAATCTCAGGTGACGGATGCACTTCTCTCTCCGCCAGTAGTGGGACCTCAAAGGCAGTGGGTGAGAGCACAGTTTGCAGTATGTCTGAAGTTCCTGTCCCATGTCTGGAGGGTATCACTGGTGTCAACAGCTGTGAAATACTGAAAGGAGTTGAACTAGCGGAGGTCTGGTCCTCTATTGTCTTCACTTCGTTTTTAAATGCCTGTGCTCTCCTTTCTCCAGTTCTTGTCCTCTCACAGACTGGTGAGTTGATGGAATGTCCCACAGGAGCAGCACTTTTTGCTCTACTTCTGCTTTTTCTCCAGGGAACGCAAGGTTCTGCCCTTTCTGAGTTACATCTCTGTTCAGAGGCAAGAGGAGGGTCCTTTGGAGGAATATTGTGTTGGATGTGCTTGGACTCTTTCTCTGGCTTTGGGGCTACACTAGGTACTGAAGATTGTACCTGTGGTTTAAGCAAATGAGTCTCACTTTGTATAGGACACTTTTCAACTTCTTTTTCCTCTGATGGGGGAAAACTTAATTTAAAGTGTCCATGTGCTGCAGTTAATTCTTTGTAAAGAGGTAAATCATACCATTCAGGTGGCCTATTGCTTAACATAATCTCCGATATGTGCTCCTGACCAATGGGGAATTTATTAAAATCCCTCCATGACAAGAACGGACTGAATTCACTGTGGAGGAAAAAGTTTATGGAATTCAGTTGTCTCAGTTTGTTGTTTTTGCTGTGTTTACTCTTAGAGGATTTTCCAGAGGGAAGCGATACATCCTTGCTTGATTTTTTGGCGGATCCTTTTTCATCTGATTTTAGGTGATTCTTGGCTTGGGAAAGATGTTCCACTGCTAAACTCTGGTAATCTGAAGAAAACTCAGAGAGCTCTCTTTGGATGCTGAGAAGAGCAGATTTGTCCCACGAATCACCATTTGTCATCTCGGTGCTCTCCCCATTCTTTTTGGCTGAAAATACAGCAAAAAGTGCAGAGTCTTTGGATGACTTATTTGATCTACTCAATACATCACTCGCTCCATTAAGGGGGTGAGAATTAAGTTTTTTGACAGCAGAAAACGAACTCTCTTGAGTCTTTTTTGAGACGTCCTCCACCACTGGCTTGTGGCAGCTGACGGGAGAGGGGGAAAACTCTGAGTCATTGTATATGGCTTCATCTCCAATGCACAGACTCTTGAAAGCTCGATCCGTCAGGCTCATGACCTCACGGTCTATTTCATTCATAAAGCTATCGAGATAGCGGAGGTGCTGCATGGTTGTCCTGTGACGCTTCTCCTGGATGCTCATGATGAGTACGTTTGCCCAGTTCCCTCAGTCTGATGCAGAATTGACCTGGCTTGACACTTCTTGCATTGTCATCACCAGATATTGGAGATTACATTGTGAGAATCTTGCAACAAAAAAAAAGAAAAAAAGAAAAAGAAAATATATCAGTTTTTGCAACGACACTCAAAAATCATATTTAAAAACTGATTTTAAAAAAGAACCTCGGATGTGGTTACTAATCTAGCCTGTGACTATGTACAGTAAAGAAAGATAAACCATGCCAAACACCAACTATTTTTAGAAGAAGGCAGATGTCTCTCTGCCCTTTCACATACACAGGCCACCTGCACAACCATTGGCAATCGTTTATTAAAACAAATGGATTTTCAAACTATGCAGAAGATTTTTCAGCGTGCCCTGTTCAACAGATCAAATTTTTAACATTTTATGCATTAATTGCAGACACAAATTAGTCATCATGCAGTCGTTTCTTTGCAGCTGCTGTATGTGTGGTTGATCCTGGTATAACTCATTAACCCATATTTATCCTGACCTGAATCCATTAACCAGCACTCATCACAGCTTATATCTGTCATGTGTCTTAAAAGAAGAGACTACAATATAGCATTATTACGCATTTCTGTGTATCTCTTGGAATGTCATCTCAGAAAGCTCAAGAGCTGACCATGCAAGGACAAATCTCGAGATATATTTATGAGCATTTAAAGGCGTGCACTTAGTAGCCAGGAAGTTTTGGACAGCGCAACATTTTTCCACCGCCCATAATTCTGTATCAACTTGCAGTCGGGGTAATTTCCCCACATCTGTTACTTTATTTATGTGAAAGAAGATCTACAGTACAGTGATAACGCCCTGACTAACCTCAAGGAAAGTTCTTCAAAATAACAGACTGTCTATCATAAAATTATGAAAATGTAAAAGAGCAGCTGCGCTCAACAGATCTTAGCTTTTTTTATTATTGAAAGGAAAATATAATTTACCTTAAGAAAATTTCAAACAGAGCTTCTGTCAGGAATGTAAGCACATGTGTTGAACTACATTAATTTGACGGTAACAGAGTAACGGCCTGTTTAAGTTTATTCCTTACCTTTTTTTTGTTTTCTTGGACAAATCCTTAAAGGTAAATTTCACACAAGCCACCAAGTGAAATCAGACTTCTCTGTTACTCCATAAAAGAAGACTATGAAAATGCTCTTCACTGAACACAACCTGAAGCTCATGGTAGAAATCCATGTTTCAGAAAGCACTTGAAGGAGGCTGAGGAAGAACGGACCGAACACACCCTACCGAAATAGTTGCCGGCAAGGCCAGAGCTGTAACACAGGAAGAAGTTAGTGAGCGCAAATATCTGAGCGACTGTTTGGTGTCGAGTGGGCGACAGATGAAATAGAAACGGTCATCTGCTATTTTGGTACCGGTCGCTTGAAGACCTAAGCTGTCTATACCTCTCCAATCCTACAGAGACAACAACATTTCACATTAACACAGCAGCTCTGGACACATGGGATGTTGTTGTATGGTGGCTGGGATGAGGAGTCGTTTTTCACACAAACAGGGGTGGTAAATATAGCACCTTGCATCACCCCACAGCAGTGTCACCAAACTCAAAGTGTGGGATGAGTGTCTAATGGAGTCTGATTACCATGACAGACTTCCCACAGTTGTTCAGCTTGTGTCTCTCTAGTACTTCTGCCTCCCAGTCCCCGCTCAGACTGAAAGAGGAAAACATATTTGCTTAGGCTCTGTCTTAATGCTTCTTAATTATGTAAATATGTTTATTTGGCTATGCTCTTCACACCTACACAGTGTCATAGAGAGTTATTTAAGTGTCTATTTGAAGCAGCCTGTATTTCATACAGTAATCGCCTGTCTTTCTTTCTGGCACACCTTTCATATCTCGGCTTATCTGTCACACGCCTGATTCTCCACTGAACCAGGCCAGACACTCGAGAATATTGATAGTGCTTTTCAAAGTTTTAATAGTAAAGGCCAGTAACGATAACTATAAATATATTGTTTTAATATAATTCTATGAGAGTATAGGGAAGTCCACACAACAACTATATTAATAACAACACAGAGGAATCACTTTTGAGGCAATTTATTCCAGCTGATAAATGATAAAAGCACACTGTAAAAAAAAATCCCGTTGTTTTTCCGGAAAAAAACGTCAGCTTACCAGAACTTTACCGTCAATAATACGGTATCAACATTTTTGGTTTTACAGACTTAACTTAAAATTTACAGTAATAAACCGTAATTCATTATCTGATATAATGATAATTTACCAATTCTATTAACGTATTAATATCTGTTTTGTACCATTGTAATACACTGACAATCAACTATGATCACAGCAGTGATGAGAGTCACATGATAAATCAAAGCTCATCACTAGCAATCTTCCACAAGACAGTTTATACTATTATATTGAAGCTGCACAGTGTTATTCGCACAAACATTAAACACCATGAAATTTTAAAAATGCAATAAACATTAATTTAACAACATTAAATGTAACATAAAACCCTAATGTACATAACTGATTAGAAAAGAACTAAGAAAACTAAGAATAAACATAGTTATTTCAACAAAAATAAATCAAATGTGAAGTGTCATGCAGGGAATTGTGGGAATGTCAATTTACGGTTTTTCACTGTAAATTATACAATGAGTTGTTCTTTTCACTTTCAAAAACTGTAAATTTAACAGTATTTTACAGTAAAATTACATTAAATGTACCGTTAGATTTATCACAGTTATTTACCGTATATAGTAAGGAAACTTTCTGTTAACCAATTAACAGTTTTGCACTGTAGCATTTTTACCGTTAAAATCACGATAATTTTTTTCAGTGCATTGACAACCAATCAGAATCCATCAGAGCTCAAGCATTTAAAGCGACAGAGGACAAAATGACGACGTAGTTTAACATTAGTAAATGAAAATACAACTGTTAATTGTTAGTTCATGTAAGCTCAGGTCCAATAAATAATATTAACAGATGCAACTTTTAATTTAAATAATGTATTATTAAATGCTGAAATCAGCATTTTCCAAAAAATTAATAAAAGTTTTAGATTTGTTTTCCTTGTTTTCCAGTTCATGTTAACTATGTACTGTAATTAACATGAGGTTAACTTGTGGAACCTTATTGTAAAAAGTGTTACCATTAATTTTTGTCATGTTCAGATCTTATTTCTTTTTGATATCTGCCTATGTTTAAATGAAAGTAAATATGCATTCAACGAGATTAAAGCGTTCACAATTGAGAAGACACTTTTATCACAGAAAACCAACAAAAATGTGTGAAAATATACAGGTTTCACAACATGCATATGTTTTGTCCACAAATGATTCATGGGAAAAGTCCCTTCCTAATAATATTTGAGCTGTAAGACAGACTCTGTGCGTCAGCAGTCAGAAAACTGTATACTGCATTTCCCTTTAACATCTGCTAATGTGAACCTCAAGGGGAGGAAGGTCACAAAGAGAGGGCAGACGAGTCTCTATCCTTAGCAACCCGGTCTCACCGTTTCCAAAAGGCTCTCATGTCCACTCAACCTCTTATTCCAGAGCAAGCAGGCAAGGCTATAATAGGACAACTGGACTCTTTCGCTGTAGGGGGAGTCCAGGGTGGCAGCAGAGGGGGTTGAGGTGATGGACGTCCACACATGGGCCGACTATCTTTCACTGGAGAATGCTTGACCATCATGGCAGCCAATAAATACTAGCGTGTCTGAAGCGCTGGCCTCAACATGCACTCGCTGCCCACAGAATCACTGCTAGCCTGAGGCTCATCTTACTGTTGTGTATCGACTGCCATGCTGGATTCTACAGGAAGAATGTATGTAAATGTAATAACCGTGGCCTTGCTATGGAATGCTTAAAGAAATAGTTCACCCAAAAACCAAAAAAAGATTTTATTTTTTCCATGGAATTGAACACAAAAGAAGATTTTTTGTATTTTTTGTGTTCCGTACAATGAAAATGAATGGTGACCTCTGCTATTTATCAAGATTTTAAGAGATGGACTTAAATTTTAGTCTGTTCCCCACCTATCGTAAGGCTTCAGAAGATCTCAAATGTAACACACGGGTCAAATAGACACATTTATGGGGATTTTAGGGTGAAGTATAAATAGCACTATAGCGTTGAAAATAAATGTACACTTCAGTTAAAAAGTTTGGGGTCAGTACGATTTTTAAAAGTTTTTGAAAAGTCTCTTTTACTCACCAAGGTTGCATTTATTAGATCAAATAATTCACTAAAAACAGTAACATTGTGAAATATTATTAAAGTAAATGTTTTCTATTGTAATACCATTTAAAATGTAATTTATTCCTGTGATGTCAAAGCTAAATTTACGTTTTTTTTCAGTGTCACGTGATCCGAAATCATTCTAATGTGATGATTTGCTGCTCAAGAAACATTTCTGGAAACTGTTAAATTATTTTAGGAATTATTTGATTAATAGAAAAAAAACATTTATTTGAAATATACATTTTTTGTAACACTATAAATGTCTTTACTGTCCCTTTTGAACAATTCAGCGCATCCTTGCTGGATAATTTTTTTTTTTTTTTAAGTATTTATTGTTCAATAGTAGGCTGCAAATATTAACATCAATCATGGCATGAAATGTTTAGTTTATCATGCAATTTAAACATGTATTAGCATTAAAAATCAAGGGAATTCTATCCATGGATCAATATTAATTAGAAGATAAACATTTCTTAGAACAGCTCACAAAGCAAGTCAATTGCAACACTGACTCATTGCAACAGACCCAAATAATATGACACTTCCACGTTCAAATATTCACCGTCACAAATACAGGCCGAGAAATATCTGGAGCCTCGAGATGTCAACAAATATCCTTGTGATGAAAACCATGCCAGTTCTGAGATGCAATCGTTAGGTTTCATGATACATGTGATTCACAGATCTAAGGATGTACAAATACCCATTCTGACGATGTTAAGCAATGGCAGTGTGAT